AGGGTTGATTTTTTTTTTTTTAACTGCTCGAGCTCGTCAAGCACGATTTATGAGGCTCGAGCTCGATTCGATAAGAAAATACAATAGCTCGAGCTTGAGTTGAAGCTCGAGTTCGACTCAAAAATTTTTAAGTGGAAAAGTAAAATTACCATTAAACACATGTGTTATACGATTTAAATAAAAAAATGCTACAAGTACATAATAAATGTACATAGATGTGTACATAACACTCACATGGAGTGGGGCCTACTTGATTTTTGTATTTTTGATGGGTCCCGCTCAATGCGAGTGTTATGTACACCCTTTATGTACAATATTATGTACTTATAGCATTACTTATTTATATATATATAATGAGTATTTTAGTAATTTAATATATATATCGAGTCGCTCGGCGAGCCGCCCGACAATGCCAAATATGGGGTTGAGCTCATCTCGAGTTCGGTCAAAATCGAGCTCGAGGCGAGCTTTAACTCAAGCGCTCGCAAACTGTCCGTGAGCCGCTCGACTCGTTTGCAGCCCTAGAAATATACAAGCGGCAACGTGAAGATAAAATGTTTGATTGGAAAAGGCAAACCTTTATATGGGTTTTTAAACAGCTATTTAATGCCTAATGGGATTGGTTTTCTTTAGCTATTTAGTGGTATGAGCTTTGTTTTGTAACGAGGAGAACAATCTTCATCTTTATTTTACATCATCTTTTCGTTGATAAACCAAACCAGTTTTGAGTTATGTTTGGTCGATTGTTCAGTTGCCGTTCATATCAATATTTCGTGCTTGTTCTATTTAGCCAAATGATCATTGTTTTTAGAAAGCCTTTCCTCACAAATTTATTTTTCAAAATTGTTGAACAACCAATTTCTCAAAAAAAAAACAATAAAAAATAAAATAAAATAAAATAAATCCCCCTTTTGACATCAAATTCAAGAAATCCACAATTTAATTCAGCAATTTTTCAAAGGATTAAAACCTAATTGCATAAAAAACAAACAAAAACGAAAAAAAA